AATTGGCTTTTCACATGAGTAATGCTATTCACCAAAACTATAATGCTATAAGGCGTATGCAAGTGTCTAGAAATATGACCATAACTTCGGTGATTCTGGCCATTCGCCCGTTTTGACAATTTTTTATTAATCTCCATACAATACTGGACATGACCATATCAACCACGACTGGATTAGCTAGGTGATGTTCACTGTATTTCCTTCTTAGTTTATTACAACACAAACTGTAAATTAATTATAATAAACTACATAAAATATAATGAATTTAAATAATAAATACTTTTGGAGGAATCTCAGCCGATGCAATTAACATTATAAATAATTTTACAATTATTTAACTAGATACTATGCAGGCCACCGGCCAGTGCTTACTGTGGCCGAGCCGGAACTGTTAAAAAACATCATGATCCGCGACTTTAACTCGTTCACCGACCGTAACTTCGAGCTCCTGATAGACCCGGTCCTCAACCGTAACGTCGCTCAGGCGTCGGGTGACGACTGGAAACGGTTGCGACAGATAATCAGTCCGGCGTTCAGCTCCGGGCGTATGAAACGTATGTATCCATCCATTAGGGAGTGTTTGCGCGACTTTACCGCACATCTGGACGCATACGCCAGGGATGGGCGCCCTATGAATGCCAAGGAAATGTTTGGAAATTTCACCATGGACGTTGTGGCCACCTGTGCATTCGCCACCAAGACCAATATTCATAATGATCCCAATAATCCGGTTGATAAATATGCTAAAAGTTTACTCGACTTTAACCCGTGGAAAATTATTGCAATGTTAGCACTTCCACCTAAATGGCTTCAATTCTTGTCGGCAAGTTATTTTGTTTGTTTGAGCTAAGTTTTATAAATTATATTTATATATTGTATTCATTATAAATAACTGCCTAACATTAGTTTTAAAAAATTATTTATTTATGTGGCACATTTACATTAAATATAAATTTTATAAATTTTGTTTTAAAAAATGTTAGATTTAAATGTTTTTACTTCAATATGAACTAATTAATTGATTGCTTCACCCGTGGTCCACTCGTAGTTGTTTTTACTAACAATAAATAAACTATGCATTTAATTTGATTATTGTTTACAGTTTGTATAGCCTATTTTAAAATTAATGTTATTATAATCCTTAACAAAATAGAGAACTTGTGTAGCATTTAATTACATGATTAATTACAAAATATCTTAATTTTTAGTTTTTTGTAATAAAAATATTATTCTAACCTAGGTGACCACTACTGTCAAACCAGAAGGGCTACAATATTTTAATGATCTAATGAGTAATATAATCACAACGCGTAAAGAGATGCCGGACTCGAGCGCCAAATACTCAGACTTTTTGCAGCTATTAATGGACGCACGCAATGATAGAGTGGCCGCACGTGACGACTACAACACCACTGAAGCCAATTACGTTATTGCGGGTATAGATGTGCTCATTATTAGCATGGTTTTATTTATACATATATTTTATTTTTACAACTTTTAAAATTTTATCTGAGAGAGAGAGAGAGAGAGAGCGTAATTTTATACCACAAACTGTCAGAATAATTTATATTAAATTATTTACTATTTTAAAATAGTTTGTTTATGAAACATTTGGAGATGATTCAACAATTGATGATAATTTATTTATTTTAGATCATTGAAACAATTTAACATTTTTAAGATTATTTTTATTACTATTAGTACTTATTTTTAAATAATAATTTATTAGGTTATAATGTTATAAATATAGACGAATTGAAACACACGGATAATTTTTGTAAATTACAATATAGTAAAAATAATGCTATAGTTTTTAATGTTTTAAAATTATGTAGATGAAAGCGCTATCACCGACGAGTCGGGCACCGGTAGCCTCAAACCTTCGGCCCCGACCCCAGCCGTACCGCATAAGCAAATGTCTGACGACGAGGTGCGGGCCAACACATTCGTTATATTAATGTCCGCCTACGAGACCACCGCCACGACCCTAACCATAGCCATGTATGAGCTCGCGCTACAGCCCAGACTACAGGAGCGACTGTACGCCGAGCTCAAGGCCGCCATGGATGCTGATGGTGAAATTGACTATGACACTTTACAAGCATTAACCTATCTCGATCAAGTCGTATCGGAGACCCTGCGCTTACATCCGCCCGGCATACGGGCCACACGACTGGCCACTCAAGACTATAAGCTCGGCGATACCGGTATTGTAATACGTAAGGGTCAACAGGTGGACATACCTACCTATGCCATACATCATAGTCCCGAGAACTACCCAGATCCATACCGATACGATCCGGATCGTTTCTCGCCGGCCAATCGTGGTAAAATTAAACCCTATACGTACGCGC